CTAAGTGTTTTGGAAACTTCAAATATAATAAACAAAAAACATGTTAATCTTATTTTGCAGGCAAACAGTTCCGGGTGTTGTTTCTCAGCACGGTGCGAACACGCCACACCTGCAAACACAAGCAGACTGCTATCAAGCGCAAAGAGCAGCTTGTCGAGGACTCGACTGAGGACCTGGACTACGGTTTCCTGTCAAACTACAAGCTGCTCAACACAGCCATCACTCGAGCTCAGTCACTGGTGGCAGTTGTAGGAGACCCAATAGCATTGTGCTCAGTTGGACGCTGCAGGTACTTCTATTTTTTTTATTAAATGCATTAGACTTTTTAATCTCATGACAATTTTTTTACATTCAAGTATAAATAGTAAAATTATTTTGACTAGGGTGGAAAAATAAACTGTTAACAGCTCAAGTTTCACAAAGTCTAAAAAATTCAGACAAATTTGTTCAAGATCTGTACAATTGCTTTCTTCCTCTTCCTCAGTATACTGAGATAAAATAAAGGCCTTATGGGTACGAGCAGGTTTAAATCAAGCAAAACTCTATCTTTTTATATGAATCAATTTAGCCCACCTCCACAAGTGCCTTCATAATGACTGAGTTTTGTCAATACTTGTCAACACATGTCAAAGGTTTCACTGTCTGTAAATGTCAGCCTGCTGATCACACACCAGTGTAATTGTTAGGCTGGAGATTGGTGCATTGTTTACCCAAGCATCCTGACATGAAAGGTCTAGTTCAGCAACAAATCTCAATTTAATATTAAAACCGATTCAATAAAAAGTAGGTAAGGGAAGTTGGTGCGCAAGTAAAGGTTAATTGGAAGTTTTTTTGTGGTTCTGTGCTGTACCTCAGTTTAACAAGATAAGTTTTGAAAAAACATTTTAAATGAAAGATGCTCCTTTTTGTATCATGCATTATATAACATTAAAAATGTTTTTTCTTACCCTTTTTTGTAACACTGAAAAAGGAAGTTTATCATTTTGAACAGTTTTGAGTATATTTATTTTTTTAACGCAGCTTCCACTAACTAAATTACATTAGTCACGTATACATGGACATAAGTAATCAGAATAAATGGCCAATTGCAATAAAAAGTGTCATGTAAATACCTCATTCGGAATAATCTGATGTGATTCAGCTCGATAGGAATGAATTGGTAAATCAAATGAGAGGGTTGGTTTATGCAGATTGTTAATCCGAACAGCGTGCATATAAACACTTATTCTGATCATGTTCTTCTGGTTGTGGAAAACTGACCTGTGACGTGTGTCAGCCTCATATTTCCACCGGGCTAGATGCTAATATGTCAGGGAAGCAAAATTAGTTGGTTAACAATATATTTTTATTAGAAACTTTAAAAGAGCTCAAAATTATCCAATGCCTTGATGGTCGACATGTCGAACAATTTCTCTAACTTTATTTTTTTTCTTACTTTGTTTCTCACTTTTAGGAAATTCTGGGAGCACTTTATTTCCATTTGCCATGAAAACTCGAGCCTACATGGCATCACCTTTGAGCAGATCAAAGCTCAGCTGGAGGCTCTGGAGCTCAAGAAAACTTACGTTCTCAACCCATTGGCCCCGGAGTTCGTCCCGCGTGCGCTCAGGCCTCTGCAAGGACACCATTCGTCTTCGCAGGCCCTCCATCCGCATCATCACCCTCATCCGCAGCATGTACAGCCTGTCTCTAACAAGCAGGGTCCACAGCAGCAGTCTCCTCCCAAGGTAAGTTGTAAGTCAGGAAGAGTACGGGGAAAGAATTTCTTTATTTTTATTCCATTTACCAAGAAACACTGTTAAAACATACTATCATAATATTTTAAATTAAATACAATCAACATGATTAAGTTAATTTAACAAGGTATAATTGCAGATTAAAGTGCCTGTGACATACGTATTCTTCAAATATAAAAAACAAAGCATCTTTATACTTAAGAAAATTGTCATTGTACACATGATTTTACCCATTTTGTCCCATAACTGGCCTATTTTCTTTTGAATTTGGCTCAACCAAAGTGGAACAGGAAGTGACATCAAAGGGAAATTCAATAATAAAATAAACTCGCTTGTCTCTGTTTATTAAAACAAAATTATTTAAACTTTAACTCTTCTTTGTCTCTCTTTTATAGCAATTAAAAATAATTTAATGAAACAGATTCTTCTCTACAGTCTGTTGTTAGCTTTTGTAACAACGCTCTGTTTACATGCAGACATTCCCCTTTGACATCACTTCCTGTTTCTTCACATTCCAATATCTCAACAACCATTCATCTGAGCGACGTGAAATTTGTTTTGCAGTATGTTATCAATGTTATCTTTCCAAAAATGTGTTCCTGTTTATTACAAAAATATTATGTCACAGGCACTTTAAAGCACCGGTTTTTGACATAATTAGGGTGGCAGGTTGGCAGCGTTCATTTGTTTGAAATATAGTAATATTCAGAACAGGCCAAAGAACTATTTGAGATGTTTAACTTTGGATAGTACCCAATACCTAATCTGAGTCAGTTTCACACACCTGAGACGGCCAAATGCTTAATGGGCAAAGTTTGTCTTAAACAAAAATGGGATCTATTGGTATGAATCCCAAATGTTTTAAGACTTTCTCCATAAATATGACATGTTAGAAAACACATCAGTGGTTTACTAAAATGGCAAACAAAATATCTTAAATTAAGTTCTTGTTGTTTTTGGAAAAAAAAACTTCAGAACATGGCAACAAATCACAAAACTGTTAAATTGACTCGCTTTAATTTTCACCACAGGGAATGGTTTCATGATTACCAGTTTCTGGCCCAGAAGCAAGAAGTGGGAAAAAACACTGAAAAAGAAATGCATTGTGGGTTTAGTAGAAGGATCACTTATTAAATTATTTAGCTGGATTTAAATTGTCTTTGTATGTCTGTCTATCCTGCCTGCCTGCCTTGAGGTAAAGGTTAACCAAATCAGCAGAGCTGCCAACCTGCTGCCGTCACCCACTGGGCCTAATGAGGCCGAGCTCCGCCAGCCAGCTGTAGAGATAAACATGCACTTCCGCTCTGTTCTCTCCACACTCACACCGTGCAACACTCAGACATGAAGGTAGCAGAAAACTGTGATGTTTATGATTCGAGTCAGAGCTTGCTCTAATGTTCCAGTTTGAAGATCAGATTATTCATAAAAATCAAATAAATATATTTTTAAATCTTGTGCCATTTTTTTGTAAATTGCTCATTTATTTGTTCATCAATGATAAAAAATGTAAAAATGAACTCATTTATTAATACCATCTTATGAGTGTTGTGCATTCAAAAAAAGGTTTATCTGTTTAGATTAATATGATGAACAGAGTAACTTGTATAAGTAACTAGTAAATCCATCAATTAGTTTTTTACAGTTTACAGTTTTAAAAAAATGTTTTATGTATCATAAACTGGTTACACATTGTCTTAATAGTTTTGTTTTAAGATGTGCAAATAATCACAAGTTAACTTATCTTTCTTTTACACTTTAGGTGTTTTGAATTCAACGAGGATTTATTAACTAGGCTAAACTTCTAATTTTAATGCTTGAACTAATAATTACAGAAGATGCTTTTTATCATTTGGTGTTTAAGTGAATAATTTGCTAGTGTTGCTGTAACGTTTTCTAGTAGTTGTACTACACGTTAGACTAGCAGTGAGAATAATTGATTAGTTGTACTTTGCAGAAAAATTTAACAAAATGGAAGTGGTAACTAATTACAAGGTTTCTGCAGAGTCCTAATATCCCCAAATTTAGGTCTTTAAAACATCTTGAATACATTTAGATTTTCTATTATTTAGGGTTTTTAATACATTTAGTTACAACCTAAATTTGTTATTTCTTGCTTTCATTTCGTCTTCTATCAAACTTTTCTGTGTGATGTCAGTACTCATTCGTTTTGTGTGCTGTAGTTTAAATGTTATGACAAAACTACAACAACCATCATGCAGCAATCCAATCAGAAGTATTGTTTAATGAACATTTAGGCTTCCTAATAAAATAATGCAATTGATCAGCTCCTGGAACTGGATTTGCTGTAGTTTTTTTTTTTTTTTTTTTTTTTTTTTTTTTTTGTGGCCGGATTTAACAAAAAGCAATAAAATTGCTTGCTTTGGAAGATATTTGACAAAAACTTGTGATTGCTCATTAATTATCAATGTCTTAAACTGACAGAATAAATGCTTATTGCTTGCTGTAGTTTGATGAGTCTTTTTGTTACAGGGGAAACATGCAAACCACACAGAGCACCTCCCACCTGAAGGATATGGTGAGTGTAACCTAATGCCCATCCCGTTAACACTGTTTATTATGACCCCCGCACGCGAAGCGTAAGCAGGGGTCATATAGTTTTCGTACTGTTTATTTTTTTTATTTTTTTATTATTATTATTTTTCTCCGGAGATTTCTGGTCAACCGCAGCGCAAAAATAGCTGCACCCATCAAAATGAAATTTTGCAGGACTGTAGATGAGTCCGACCTACATTGCGCCAGTCAACGGTTTTATGATAGACCCCATATTTGAGGAGGGGGCTCCTTTCAAAGTGGGGGTGTCAGGACATGCAAAATTGCTTATAACTCAGAAACTGTTCAACATTGAAGCTTTCTGATTTCTTTTGTTGTTTAGCTCTGATGAAGCTCTATCCATCAGGCCCACAATCAGTGCCCCCCACCCCCCGGACCCCCAATTTATCTGAAAAAGGGGGGTCTGGACATGCAAAAATGCTTATAACTCAGAAACTGTTCAACATAGAAGCCTCAAATTTCTTTTATTGCTTAGCTCTGAAGCTCTATCCATCAGGCCCACCAGTCAGTGCCCCCCCCCCAATTTCTCTGAAAAAGGGGTGCCTGGACTCACAAAAAGGGTTATTGTTCAAAAACTGTTAAACATAGGAGCTTCAGATTTCTTTTGTTGTTTAGCTCTGATGAAGCTCTATCCATCAGGCCCACAATCAGTGCCCCCCACCCCCCAGACCCCCCAATTTATCTGAAAAAGTGGGGTCTGGACATGCAAAAATGCTTATAACAGAAACTGTTCAACATAGGAGCTTCAGATTTCTTTTGTTTAGCTCTGATGAAGCTCTATCCATCAGGACCATCAGGAATAAAGACTTCTGAGTTCTGGTGCATTTCTGCGTGCGGGGGTCATTATGTTACAGCTATGCGGTATCTAGTTGTTTTTTTTTCTTCCACTGACTAAGCTCCAGAGTAGTTTTTTTTACCTAGCTTTGGTGTCTAAACTATATATATATTTGTTTAACCTTCACTGTGTTGTATTTGGTTCAGTATTGTAGGTAAAGGAAATAAACAAGAGCTATAAACATGCAGTGAGATGATTTCTCTCTAAATGAGCACACAGCAAGAGCTCTTTGATGCAGACAGATGGATGCATCAGGGCCTGAGGCTGTTGACAGCATCAGAGCGAAGCAGCTATTAACAGAATAATATTCGAGGAAAAGACAATTAGCTTATTTCAGCTGCTCACAACTATATGTTGTAAGAAAGTTACATTAATCTGTATTTTTAACCAAGGATGTGTATTTTAAGCAAAAGCTCTATTTGATTATTTTTTTTGTTTAATTGTCTTGCTCTGTCATTTTTTCTGATTGCAGTTCAGTCAAACCCTGCTGTGATGATGGGAAACCCTATTCAGAGGTTCACCCCACCTTTGGGTGGCGCACCAGCTGGCATGGGAAAGTCACCCAGTCCTGTTCAGAGGATCGATCCTCATACAGGAACTAGTATTCTCTATGTTCCAGCTGTTTATAGAGGGAACATGGTCATGTCCATGCCTCTACCAGTAAGTCTCCTGCTTCATTTAATACATTTGGAGATGTGAGCTTTTACAAAAGAGTTGCTCTTCTGTCTTGTTGTATACCAGAGAAATGTAAGTGTTGAATAATTCATGGTTTTGTTCCAAGTTGCCCTGGCCAAGTTACCAGAACCGCTTTGCAGTGGATCCTCGGATCATGAGCCACCAAGCAGCTGTGGCCTACAACTTAAATCTGTTACAGCCACAGAACCGAGGCTCCCCTGTTCCCTACAGTGCAGTGGGTCACCCCTCTCCTCTAGGAATGGGTCAGCCCAGCCCAGAGAAGGAGCTACAGGCTGATCCCATCAGAAATGGTGTGTCTTTACTACTGTTACACTACTAAACTATTGTAAATAATGATGATTACTTTGAAGACATTTGCCAGTTTTGAAGATGTTTTATTGGCACTTTTAGGTAAAGTAGAAGCATGTCCAAAGTCAGAACAAAACCGTCTACAAACCCCAGAAAGGAAAAACACAGACATAAGGGAAAAACAGGCAAGTTTTATGCAAAACTTTGCTTTGAGCTTTATTTTTATTGTTTAAAAGCTCTGTGATTGAATGATAACTAAATACAATTATAATGTGTTAATTTACGTTATTTAAATTGGTTTCTTTTTTGTGCAGGCGGATGTAGACACAGGCCAAATTCGAGGTTTAGATCCACAGACAGAAGGGTTAGTTGGATTTCCCAACGCTCTGCTACATCGAAAAGACCCTCCAGCTGCACAAAGATCCCTCAACTACCACCTGGCACCACCCAATCCCGCTTTTCCTTCACATCCTGCCAGTGGAAGAACCTTCCCTCAACAGTATCCAGTGTCTAGACTTCCTTATCGGGTCAACCAGCCTCAACATCCAGGAATTACCCAACCGAATCAACAGCAACAGCTCAGCCCTGCCTTCAGTGGTGGAAACCATGCTTCCTTCTTCAGTGGCTCCATACCGCCTCATAGATCTGTCCAATCACCCACTGTGGATGGGACAGAGTCTGCTGGGGTAGAGGAGATGAACAGCTCCATTAGGACTCAAATTGGCCATGCAGGGGGCCACCACTCAGGCCTTCCACAGCAGCCTCAAAGAGTCAACAACTTTGGGGAAGATGGACAAGATGGAGACAGTTTGGGTGAGTTGATAGTTTAACTCTTTATTTTCTTTAAGTATTAGCAATAATGAGACTGCCCTCACTTTCATAGGACTAGAATAATCTACTCTAATTAAACATGGTTTTATTTTTTGAGGCACATTTTAAAAAGATTTTTTTTATCAGGTAATTGAAACACTTTGGTACACTAAGGTATTTTGAACAGATTAGTTTTTACGCTGTGGTTAAAAACACAAGTGAGAAGATGACTGTACTGCAGAAGTCCAGAAGAAAAAACTTGTACAGTGTTCCCACGGATCATTGAAATCCTTAAAAGTTTGTAAATTTGAAAAAATGATTTCAAGGCCCAGGAAAGTTTGTGAAAACAGCCAAAAATTACACGTGTCCTTGAAAGTCCTTGAGTTTTTTGGGGGGATTGAAGTTCTCTATTCACACGACTGATTTTCATCCTCCGTATAAAAAAACAAACAAACTTACATTTGTTGCAGAGGATAACTCAGGATTACGGTAAACTGTCGTGGCTTTCAACAAGTAATGTGAACCATAGTCATAGTTTTACCCAATCAGAGCAGAGTAGGGCGGGTCGTTCTTTCTGAGCCCAGGTGAAGTACCACAGCTCCTCCTGTCCTCACTGAGTGTCTGGACATGTTTACATTCCCTTCTCCCAAACTGAGCTGCTGGACCTCCCAGGATATAATTACGTGCCCATGTAATGGGCAGCTGCGGACATGAAAGCGCCTGCCGTGAAGCAGGAGGAAAGGAGAGAGGGAAAAGTAACTTATTTCTAGAGGCAGAACAGGTTGGAAGATGGCTGTTTGATGTTATTTATTGTTTTTTAAA